AAGGAGGGATGGAGCTGGGGGCGGGGAGCACAGGCTGCATTTTACTGCTAGCTCGGGGAGCCCCATAACCCGGAGCCTCCCACAAAAGGTCTTTTCTTCTTCCCGGCCTAATAGGAGATGTGACGATAGCCCTGCCCTGCAAACGCTTGCTGGGGTCCTTGAAACCTTTTATACCTCAGCAGTGGCAGCAGCAGCAGCGGGAGGGAGGGAGGATGGATGGGAGGCGTGGGTCCTGATGAGCAGGGGGCAACGCAGTCCTCCCTGGAGAGGTCCTGGGCCACCCAGTCACCCTGTCCCAGGCAGGCACTCTCCAGGGCCCCATAGCCCAGGGCCCCAGGGAGCAGGGGAAGGGGTGGACCCCAGGAGCTCAGCCTCTCTGAAGGGGACACTGAGGGTCTGGGCACCTGAGCTCCCTCAAGAAAGGCTTCAGAATGAACCTGTGCAGAGCTGGGGCAGGAGTAAGGTCTCCTGGAGGGGCCAAGGTCACCAGCTAGGAGCACCATAAAAGGGGAATCTGGCAGCTGGCGGGGAGAGCGGGTATTTGTGAATGCGGGTCTTTTGCTTTATATTCTGTGCTTTCCTGTTTATAACAAGGAGGGGGGTTATAACAACTTTACAAGTGCACGCAGCTGGCCTGTGATTACATTAAGCATTTGGGAAGCCTATTGCCTCCCCCACACCCGCCCTAGGGTGCAGGCACCCCTACTCTGGTCTCACTTTACATGTAGCACACATTAGACTTTGAGTGAGGTTGACCCCAACCAAGTTGTCCCCTGCCCTTCTCACCAAGGACTGGGGCGGGCACTTAGCGGGACCAGTTTGGGTTTTTGATCTCTGTGGAGTATTCTTTTAAAGGAAAAAAGAAAACACTGTGATAACTGAATTAGCACCTCACTGAGTACAACGTGGAGCGATGCCAAACACCGGAGGGAGGGGAGAGGTCCGCAGGTGGCTGCAGAAGTGCCCAAGACGGCCCTGCCGGCGGGGACCAAGAAGGGCACTGAAGGTGCTGCGGCCGGCACGGCCGCTGTGGGAGTCACCGGGCTGGGACTGCTGCCCACACTCAGGGGCCCCCGCAGAACCCGGGGGAGCCTTGTGCTCCGAGACAAGGAACCCAGAAGTACTGCAGTGCTGGGGGCTTCCGAAGCTCTGACCCCTGGAACCAGCAGGCAGGAGAGGGCAAGTGTGAAATGCCAAAAAAAACCAAGAAGGAAGTCGCAACTGGGATCAGAAACCCGGTTTGGGTGCAGGTCCTGCCTGGAGCACAGGCCAGGCCCTGAGATGCAGAGGCGCTGTGTTTCTAACTTAAGCCAGGAGCAATGCCAGCCCCTGGCTGGGTCCTGGGGGTGGCCCAGCCTGGCCCAGAGGGGGCGAGGTGTTATCCTCTCAGAAACCGCTGCATCAGTGCACCCTTTTCAACCTACGGCCAAAAAGGAGCCTTGGTGCCCTCGCCTTCGCACCTCAGGACTCCAGGGCCATCCAGCGCTCCAGGTTGAGGCCTCCAGCGAGCCCGGGTGTGGAGGGACCCAGCTCCCAGCCTCTGTGCCCGCTCTAACTCACCCAGGCCCTGAGACAAACCGGTGTCAGGATGCAACCCCCTCCCTCACCTCTGCGCCTCGAAGCCCCTCCCGGAGCTCTGGGCCACCCGAAGTCCAGCACACACAGCCCTGGCTCTCGGGAAACGCGCGTGGTCCGTGCGCATCGCGCAAACTCGCAGGCACATGGGAGCTTGAATGGAGCAAGGGCGCCCTGTCGGGCTCAGGCGTGGGCAGGACAAGGGGGAGACCGCGCGGCGGCTGGGCGGGGCTCCGTTGGGAGGGGAACAGGGCGCCGGTTTGGTCTGCAGTTAGGAGGCCGTGCTGCCCGTTCACGGGGCCGGGGAAGGCTTCGGGGAGTCCCAGCCGGCAGGCTCGGGCGGGCTTGGGTCCTGCGTTCCCAAGGGAGCCGGGAGGGGCCGAAGTCGGGAGCCGCCCGCGCCGGGCAGATTCCCACGTTTCCGGGGAGCAGGGCCCGGCCTGGAGCAGGAGCGGATGCGCCCTCGTGCGGAAGCCGCAGGCGGAGGCCGGGGAGGCCCAGGGGGCAGCTGTGCCTGGCGACGGCGGGCTGCGTGGGTGTCCCCGGAGCCAGACGGGACGCGGCAGCTCCTCGCGGTCCACAGGTCCCCAGATCCGAACCGGGACGCCTCTCCGAAGTCAGTGGTTGCGAGCGCATCTCCCAGCCTAAGGGAAAGGCTAGGCCTCCGCCTGCCCGGGCGCCCGGGGACTGCGACGACGCCCCCGATTCTGGGCCCCCGGCAGACAGAGGGTCCAGCGCGGGAGCAGGGCAGACGCCACCGTCCCGGCCGGCTGGGCAGAGCGGGTGTGCGCTCCTCGGGGAGGCTGGAAGGAGCCCAGGCGCAGGGGAGGGGAGAGGCCGGCAGCGCCCAAGGCTGAGGTCGAAGCTCCTCCCACCGCGCCGCATCCACGCCCCCTGAGCGCCGCGAAGAAGGCGCAGAGTCCGCGTGAGCATCGGCCTCCTCTCCCCAGAGGTCGCATCCCTGTGCTTGAGGGCCCAGGGCAGTTGGCAAGTCGGATACAGATACGACACCACCCAGAGGGCCAGCCAGCGGGGTGGGAGGGCGCAGGGTGGAGCCCAGTGTCTTTGGACGCCTAAAAGCCCTGGGGGCCGACCCGACGTGAGAGTCACTGAAATGCACTGCGTTCCGCCACGAAATCCCCTACCCTGCTGCAGCTCTAAGGAGTACACAGCGTCCTTGGTCCCATTCTGCACACCAGAAGCCGAGGCTGGGCGTGAGCCTGGTCTCCGTGAGGAAATGTGCCGAAGACAGAAGCAAAGCACACTGAGACAGCTCCCAAGCGGGGCCACCAGGGCCCTGGGGACCTCTCTCCCTCACACCCTCTCTCACACACAGGAGCCACCCACTTCACAGATGAGGAAACTGACCGGACGCAGCACACTGCAAGCCCAGGGAGCTGCAAAGGACAGAACAAGGATCCAAGGCCACAAGCTGTCCTCCGAAAGCAGGGGTTCAGATGGAGAGAGGGAGTGATCTGCTGTCAGACAACAGGGCCCTCTGCAGACTGAGGGGCCCGCTTTACCCCGGAGCTGGGAGACTGGGGCGCCGCGGACCCTCCCTTACAAACCCAGAGACCCTGCTGCCTGAGCCTGCCGCAGTCTTCTGTTGCCTCTCCTTGGGTGGGGGAGCTGGGGCTGCCCAGCCTGGCCAGGAATGGGGAGCTGGGCAGGGCTTTCCAAGTGAGGCGCTTATTTATAGCTCACCTTGTTCCCAGAAATGATTGAAAGGCTACAAACAGGCACTGCCCTGCCCAGCTGGTAAAGGAGCCAACCAAGACCCGAAGAACCTTTTCTGTGGGGTTCTACAGGAAAACCCCAGCCTTGCTAGGGCCGGACTCTGTGTTAGGGTCCCGGATCCTCACCCTCTTCCACCATCCTCTCATTTTCCCCTTGAGAAACTGGCCCAGAGAGCTCGTGGTAAGGGGGTGGTCACAGGAAGCCCCCGCTTGATGTCGGCAAGGTCCTGGGTGATACTGGGTGTGGAGTGAGCCTTAGGCACACAGACGCTGCGGGGCAGGAAGACCACTTGGGAAATAACTTGCACCGGGGGAGAGCTGGGCCATGTGGCCAGCAGGCGGGGGTCAGAGGGGCCTCTCTGGCCGTTAGGATCTCCCAGCCAGGACTGAGCTACACCCCGGGACAGGGCAGGAGCCCCAATTCCCCCTACCCAGCTCCATTCTCCTAAAGGCACCAAAAGGTCAGCACCCTTGTCAAGCCTGTGGTCTCCCCCCCCCACACACACACACACACTCCCGTCCCAGGAAGAAGTCCCCAGGAGCCCGACGCTGGCAGCACCCAGCACCCAGCACGCAGAGACATGGCTCCTGCTCCCCTTGCTATAGGGCAGGAATGTTGAAAATGTCCCAGACACCCGCCCAGCACATGGTAAAGGTGGGTGGTGTCTTCCCAGGCACAGCGGCTGTTCCCAGGAGGGACGGAGGGGCTGGGATGGTGGCTGCCAGCCTTCTGGCCTCCCCAACATTCCACCCCCTTCCTTGCATGCCTGTGTTAAAAAGCAAACATTTCAAACGCCTTGGTGAGCTGAGGCCATGCAAGACCGAGGCGGACAGGGAACGCTTCTCTGGGAAGTTTGGCAAAGCATTTCAAGTATGCGGTGTCAGCAAGCACTCAGGGAGGGTAGACAGCCCACGATGGCCCTGACCCCGCCTGTCCCCTTCACCTGGACCAGCGGCCGGGTCCTCCTCTCCTGAAATCCCAGCAGAGCTGCGGCTAAGGCATAGAACCACAGGCTTCTACTTACCCGGCTTTGGGCCCCGGCAGTCGGACAGAGGTGTAAGTTACCGACACCCACCGAGGGCCTGGTCCCCGAGGGCCAGGCGCAGGCTCTGAGACCCCAGTGCCTTCTGAAGGCCTTGAGGTTTTGGTTAACAATAAATTCCCACCAGATAACCCTGCCCCAAGCCCCTCCCCTTTCTCGGATTCGGAGAGGGGATGGGAATGGGGGGGTCTGGGAACTGCCTTCTGCCCTTCAGTGTCGCCAGCAATGCTGGCAGCGCCCTTCGGGCCTGATGGGGAAGAGGGGCGGAGAGGACCCCCGAAAGATTTATGAGCCATGCGCTCAAGTTCCCAGGACCCTTCGTTTTCCTCTCCCTTCTGATCTCCTTTCTTGCAGGGGGGTGGGGCGCGAGGGCCTTCAAGGGGCCCTGCCCAGCCCCACATGGAAGGTCAGGGTGGCTGTGGCCAAGGGGGGCTGGGAGGGGAGGTTCGTTCACACAGGCAGATAGGGCCTTTGAGTGAAGTCCTCATCCAGTGCCCAAGCGATTAGGACAGTCACCGAGGGGTTTGCATGGGTGTGGCTGAGCTACGGAGCCACGGAACCAGGACAGTGGGCAGCACCTGGCTGCAGACCCAAGGGTCCTTGGAGACCGCACAGCAGGACCCTGGCTGTCCCTCTTTATGCACATGTGAGGTTGGAGGGTAGCCTCAGCCTGACTGGAAACCACCAAACAGGGCCGCTGCCACCCCAAGGGGCTGGGAGGGTTGGGGGTCCACAGGGCGTCCATCACAGCTGCACCCTGGTCAGTCACAGTCCACACAGCCAGGGTCAGCAGGGCCCTCAGGGTGGGTCCCAGAGAAGCCCTTCCCACCATGGTGGTGGTGGGATTGCTTTCATTTTATGTGTGAAGTTTGCGATCCGCCCCGAGGTGTCTTCTTGCTGGGTGGTCATGGGAACACCGCTTCCAGCAAACCAAGTCCGAGTGGATTGCAGGGTCCTTCCGGCCTGGGCCTTCTCCCTGCTTCTCCTGGGAGGCCCTGGCATCCCCAAGAAAGAGGTGGCGAGGGAGAGTGCAAGTCCTGCACAGGCTGCTTTGGGTGCCCAGGTCTTTCCATCATCGCCTGGCAGAGAAACGTGCGTGGCTGCGTGGCAGGTGCCGTGGGTGCTGAGCACGGCACGCTGTAGCTGCTGAAGATGTCTCGTCCTCTCAGGAGCAGCAGCTGCTGAGTCGCTAGGCCCAAGGTCGGAGCTGTGTGGGGATCATCGGAGGCCAAGACGGAGCCTAGCCTTGGCATAGACAAGCACCAGGGACCCAGTGTCTGGCGCTTACCTGCACCCACCCGGTCCCTTGACTTGAGGAAGCCTAAGGTTCTCAGGAAAGCCCCAAAGCCCGGCTGGACACACCCAGGGACAGGCTTCTCCCTTCCATCCACACCGTGGGGCCTGGGTAAAGCCCCAAATATAAGCCCAAGCTGCCAAGTTCCCAGGGGAAGGGAAGGACCCTCAACAAGGCCTCCAGGTGCAGGGCAGGGCCCCCAGCTGCCCACTGTCAGCAGCACCCTCTCTACAGAGTCTTCCCAAAGACAGTGCCGGAGCCGCAGCGCACGGGGCGGTGCTCTCACCGCACCCCTGTCCTCCTCTCTGCAGGCGGCTCTGCTCCCAGGCGTCATCCTCCGCAGGGCACCCACCTCAGGAGGACGGAGACCTGCAGGGAAGCCTCAGCGGAACATCTGGAGCGGGAGCCCACCCAGTTGTCTAGTGCAGCCCTTCCCTCCTGGGTAAAGGCAGGAGCCCGACCAAGCAGGACACAGTGAAGGCGCCAGGAGCTCATGCCACCCCTGGTTGGGGGCCCCTCTCTCAGCTCCCTCCTCCTGCGCCCCAACTGCAGCACAGCTGCCGGGCCTGCCAAAGTCAAGTCCTCCGCTCCACAGCTATTGAAAGGAGTAAAACGCAGCCTTTGGGTCGTAAGAGCGCACTACCTGGGGCCACAGAGTGAAAGGATCTGTGTTGCGCGTATGGGGGAAATTCTTATGCGGCAGAGTTCCCCTGGTCTGTTCCAGCAGGGCATAAAGACAAAAACGCTGTTTCAACAACAACGACAACACCCGGACTCCCTGGGGCCACTGCACGAGCAACACCACTTTTGGCAAAATCCGTGTGGCCGAAATGTTTAATCTACATTCAGCTCCAGGGTGGCAACAACCAGCCCACCTGCTGGGGGCCGTGGTGCCCCTCGGAGGCCGCAGGAGTTGCAGATTTCAGCCAGTGAGACCGACAAGAGACGCTCCCCAGCTACGGTTCACGGTTCACGAAGGCGAGGTCGTCAACAAAAATTAAAAACATGAGGTATCAACACAGGAGAAAACTCAAGTCATAGTCTCCCTGCTATTTAACATATTGAAAAGTTGGTAAAATTTAAGACCATAAAAGCATCCTAAATTATTTTTTGCAGGACGATGAGGTTTTACATTTTTTCACTGCAGTAGGGTAATGATTTAGAAATCAAATGGGAAAGTAAAGGAATTTGGAATCCACCTCTGATCCGCAGCCACCAAGGGAGAGGGACATTAAACACAGAGAATCAGCCCCTGGGTCCTCACCAGCGTCAAAATCCTCTCCGGGAAACCATACAGGGCAAAGGAGTCCGCCTCCTAGGAAATCAAGGGAGACAGCAGGACTCCCCCGGTTAGCAAATGGGGAATGTTTGTCCTTCCCCTCTCTCACCTTCCAACATGGGGACAGCTGGACCCTGAGCCAAAGCGGCACTGTTTTGTTTTGACAATTGGCTTGTTTTTCTGTACTTCACAAAATTCATTAGAGCAATGGAGGAGCGAGTAGCTCTCTGTCGCCCAAGAGCCCGGGGAAGCGGGTGGGTTCTCAGGTTGCCTCAAGAAAAGAAAACCCCCAGCGTGGGAAGTTTTCAAGAAAAGCCCTTTCTGTCACTAAAAGACACAAAAGGGACACACTCCCTTGCCGTGGTCATCTGCTGGGGTCTGCACAGACAGCCACCTGTGTAGCAAAAATAATCACAACAGGTGGGTTTACAGACACACCTTGGATTTTTTTTTTTTAATGCAAGAACACAAACACACCATTCGAACTTTGGGCAGAAAAACGACATGGATTTATTTTAAGGTAAATACAACAATTAAGACCACATAGGACAAACACATGAAGTTAAAATTTTC